TCAAGTTTGTTTATTTCAGCAGTATTAATATTACATTTTCAGAACACGTTTAAATTTTTCTGGTAAATATTTACTAGAGTCCTATCCAATGCCAATGTTAGCAAGCTCATTGAACGCATGAAGTGCAGATTTTTCTTTAAATTACCCTTGAGCCCATCACACTTCTTTTCCTTTTGACTTGAGGGCTGATCACTACTCACTGGCTAAAAGGCAGAAGCAGCAGCTAGCTTTTAGCAGGGTGCATGTTGAATAAAATATGGGAATATTTTATTTAAATTTTTTCATACAATATATTTTAACCATATTCTGTCCCTTTCTGAACTCCTCCCAAATCACCCAACTTGAACTTAATGCTGTTTCTTTCTCTTGTTCTCCCTTTAAAAAAAAGACAAAAACCTCAAAAATGAAAGCCAATACAAACAACAGCAACAATAAAGAGTAATAATACAAAAATGCCAAAATAAAAAAAAAACCTCAAAATACTATACTGTCACTGCTTTGGAGGCAGTGGGACACAGGAGAGTGGAGCCTAAAATTGAGGTGGATTCAAGTCTCATGCAATAGACAACTTTATCCAGAGCCTCTGACACTTTATACACTGAGGGCTAAGAAATGTCACATAGTAAAGTCTTCATGCCTTCATGCTGTATGCAATCATGACAAGATGCAAATATCGAGGCCTTTAAACATTTAATTGAATAACAACAGCAAACAATAATGAGTAATTGGAAGTAAATGCACTCCTATCCAAGAATAATTCCATGTTTTTGAAGAAAACTGAGGTCTCAAACTCTTGTCTTACTGTCTTGGAGTGTTTTCCCCAGGTACTCAGAATTCTCACAGGACTCTATTCGAAACTGGACCATGTTCTGACACCATAATATCTATTTTGTGTTGTCCATCTACTACTGCAAATGAGACCAGCCCCTGAAGTGTGGCTGATATACTCAGTGATCTCTCTCAGCAGGCATCGATTACAAATAGTTTCTTCTTGTTTAAGGATGGGACTTTGTGTCCACCTCCCCTTCTCAGGGATAAGACTTTATGAACCTGTGCAGGTATTGTATGTGCTGTCACAGTGTCTGTGAGGTCTTATGTGTATCAGTCCTGATGTGTCTGGAAGATGCTTTTTCCTTGAAGTCACCCATCACCTCTGATTCCTTACAGTGTTTTTCCCTTCTCTTCTGCATAGATCCCTGATTCTTGAGGGTCGTGGTTTATTTAAGACATTTCCTTTAGGACTGAGTGCTCTGCACATTTTCCAGTTGTGGGTCTCCACTGAAAGAAGAAGCTTCTCCGATGAAAGTTGCACTTACCAAAGGCTATAGCAATATGTCATTAGGAGTTATTGCCAAGTTCCTTTATCACAATCGTGGTAGTAGGTTTTGCCTTTGGGCTCATGACTTCTCTAGTCTCAAGTTCTTTATCACTTTAGCAGTGTCAGGTATAGATTTCATCTTATGGAGTGGGACTTAAAACCAATCAAAAAGTGGTTACTCCCATAACACTGTTGCTTTGTTGTAGGTCACAAGGTTTGTAGATGGGTGATATTGATGATTACCTTTTAAGTACCATAAGCGCTAGTCACGGGGTGAAGCTTTTAGTTAGGCACCAGCTGGATTTCTCCATGTTCAGTGTTACAAGTACGTTGTGCCTTACTTACCATCATGTTGTGGAAAGTAAACAATAGGTTGGCAATAGCCTATGGTGTTTGGGAGTAGTGTATGGGACCCCTTTGGCCAATGACTCAACAAGAGATAACTCATTCCTAGCATTGGAGGTTTTACTTGGTAGTGTAAGATGTGTAGTTGTGGGCACTATCGTCCCCATTAAATATGGGAATATTTAAACACTATTTTCAAGCAGGTGAGAAGAGAACACTATAAAAAGCAAGTAAGGGTATGAGAATCAGTTTGGGTCTCTGCTCATAAGAACCTTGTGGATCCAGGCATAGTGGTATACACCTTTAATTCCAGCAGAGCTAGGCAGATATCTGTGAATTTGAGTCCAGCCTGGTCAACATAGTGAGTTCCAGGACCGCCAGAGCTACATGGTGAGACCATGTCTCACAAAGGCCACAAAACAAAACAAAATAAAAAAGCAAAAACCTTGTGAGAGGGGACTACCGGTGGCACTCATGCTGTGGTGTACCATCTCTGCTCACACACTGGATCTGCAGATGTTAAAGATGCCAATGTCGAAGAAGCAGGCTGAGCAAGCTTTGAGGAGCAAGCCAGGAAGCAGCACCCCTCCATGGCCTCTGCATCAGCTCCTGCTTCCAGGTTCCTGCCCTGTTTGAGTTCCTGTCCTGGCTTTCTTCAGTGATGGACTGTGGATGTGGAAGTGTAAGCTAAATAAACTCTTTCTCCCCCACCCAATAAAGATGGCAATGTCTGGCTTCTGGATTCAGAAGGAGTATTCTCACAGTAGAGAGGGCTGTAGGCTACAGTCGACAACTGATTGAGAGAGGGGTTACTAAGAGAGGGAAGTTCCTGGGTTGTGACTGGGTAGATTAGTGTAACAGGAGGAGAAAGGAGACACAGAGAAAGGACTGCAGTACATACAACTGTGTGCCATAATACATTTGATGATTCTTAAATAATGGCTGGATAATCAACCTATAATAAGCTTTACCCAAAGGACACACAAACAGAGAATAAAAATGGGAATGTTATCCACATCAGGAGTTTACAGTTAAAATTATGTTTAGTTGCAAAGTAAGAGACCCAGATTCATTCAATTTGTGGTCTAGTTAATCCCTATGGGAATGCACTTTTATATCTTAGTGGAAATGAGACAGACTGCATCTCAACCATGTCGATGACTTGGAATTTTTATGACTAATTTGGTACAAAGTGGTAAGATAGCCATTGTTTTAATTCCAGATGTGTTCCTGTAACAGACCTATATACTAAATTTATAAAATTTATATGTAAAAAATGTTAAAAGTCCTAGAAGGGCTCAAAGAACACAATGTAACAAATGACAACTCTTATTGTGCCAGCCCAGAGATAGGGTACATGGCCAACCTTCTGGAGATGACACACCAATTGGGTTGCTTTTCCTCCCCCACCCTTTTTCTCAGGGTTGGGAGAAGAGGGAGGCAGAAGAGATAGGCTGACTGAAATTGTGTAAGAGAAAAAGGCTGGGATGATGGGGGATGGAGGTAACCCTACAATTTGGAAAAAAAAACAAAAACAAAAACCAGGAGGACTTGTTCAGGGATTATGAAAAGGGCAGCTGAAGGGGTTGCACTTGAGTTCAATGGTATTCATTAAGATACTTTTTTGAGTGTCGTGCCATGTTTTGTGGAAATGAACTTGGTTACTGATGAGATTGCAGAAGAACATCAAATCCAAGAATTTAATTGCATGGGAGGAAGTGACTCCCAGACTCACAACAATATGTGGGTAAGTCAGGGTCAATGTAGCATCCTCTCCTGTGTCCCACTATGAGCTAGTCTTGATGTTATCTTAAGATGTTTGGACTCTTGATTCTTTTTCTACTTTCCCATTGGCCTGCTGGGATCCAGATATCAGTTCTTGATGTAGTTCTCTGATTCTTTATTTACACATTCAGGCCTTCTACCTTCTCTATTTTCCTCTGTCGTTGGACAGGATCAACAGAAAGGGGGAACAATTTTGAACCTTTGAATGCTGCAATGACCAAGGCAGGAATGATGTTAGAGACTCTAGGATACATTATACTCTGGGTAAAGTAGGAGGAAAAGACACTATAGCCAACAGATTGGCCCAGTGTCTTATGGCTTGAGGTTCAAACAGACCAAAAGTAGTCCAGAGGTGGCAGGGCAGAGAGGAGTCCTCATGGGGGATGGCACTGCACAGGAGATCGAAGGGTTGCCAGGTGAATGGAGAAGGAAGCTTGTTCCTGAGAGTAGAACATGTGCAAAGACAATGAACACAGAGCAGGGGGCTGGGCTTAGGTGTCTTCCCTAACTTCAACTGGCCACAGCTGGAGGTCTTTTCAGGGTTGCAGAAATGCAGCTGAAGGCCCAAGTTGGTGCCGGATCACCAAGGCCTGGATGGAGCCATCATGTCTGAACTATTTCTCCTGTTGTCTCCCCCATGCTCTTCCTCTCCCCTGTTGCAGATTATCAGACCTGATAATGGAACATTCACACTGAGAGCAGATGGCCACTCTGCAGTGGGGAAGAGAGGCGCCAGGCTCCCTGGGCTCACCGTGGAATCTCAGTGTACTCAAAAATGAGTGTTAAGAACAAGCTGCATAGCTTCCTCTGGCTTTCGTTTCCTCATGTACCAACTACAGAAATAACGTCAGTCCCTCCAAGGGATTTGTGAGTTAAGTGAATTGCATAGGAAAAATCCTTACACCAATGCCTTGGCACACACTCCAGAAGCAGGGTTATCATGACTTCTGTGAGGCCTTTAGGTATGGGTCTGTGACAAATACAATGGAGTAGCAGGATCAATCAGCCTGCCTGTGTTTTGTGCCATCACTAGACCAGTGACAAAGCTTCATTCATATCAACCCTGAACTTTCCTCAGGCCATAAGGCCACACCCTCTAACTCATCTGAAATTCCATGCTGCCTTTATTCTCCGCCATGGTAAACCAGTATTTATACTGCACCGGCCTTGGAAGTGTGAGCAAACTTTCTATCTGACCTAAGTCAGAATGATGCACATGAGGAGACAAAAGAAAGCGGAACAACAGAGCACAATGAGGCTTCTGGTTTGGGCTAGGACTCCTGATGGCCCGGTATGTGGTTCACCAAACATCCAATTTATGACTTTGTCACTTACACTCCTGGGGAGTGCCTCATGAGTTGCAATTACCTTTTGTGACTAACTTTCTATAGTGCTCTTGCCAGCAGCACCATGCCTACCTGAGTATTTCAGGAGAAGCGGCACAGTGATCTTCCCCAACACGCAGAACAGTTTCAACATAATTAGCAGCATTTCTGGATCAACACAGCACTCTTATAAGGTGTATGATGGAGGAAATGAATGACTCTAATTATACCTTATTAAATTTTATTAATCCTCATTAGAACCCTATTATTCTTTATAAGTGGGTTACTGAGAAGGGAATAAAAGCAAGCAAGCAATGCTGGTCAAGTTCCGTTACGTCTAAATGAGCACGGGGGTGAGTTCCCCACACTAAATAGTAGCACCCAGGACACAGACTGGCTGAAATGAATCAATTGTGATCTTTTTAAGTCTGAACTCTAGGAGCTCTTGATTCCTGTCTGATGTCACGTTAATTGTAAAGAGAAAACAGTTCATTATTGCGTGGGGTGCCTGGTACTCTTGATCTTCGCTTCTGCTGCATTCCTGCTTTTCAGTGCGTAGCTGGGGAAGTTGAGAGGGCAAAGGGCTTCAGTAGTTTGAACCCAGAAGTGTTCGAGTTTGAAGACCGCAGGAGAGGTGTTGTTCAATAAATGCTAAGCACAATAATATGTACTTTGACACTTACTTGATTAATTCTTAGTCAAAAAGCCTCATCAAAACCTAACCTGAAAAGGGCCATTTGAGCCACCCTGCATACCCATGGTTCTTGGTGTACTTTGTATGTGCATGACTGGGTTAGGCTGCAGGAGGGGGGCCCCCCCCCCCCCCCCCCCAACCCCAGGGTGGGTGGAAGGTGGCTTGAGAGTAGGAGAGAGTTCAGGAGCCTGCTCAGACAGGGGTGTCATGCGGGTCACTTTACCATATTTATCCTACCCAACCCACCTGAGATGGCAGCAACAGGTAGGGAAGCCATTAGGGTGTGCTGAGGTTGTTGTTAGTGTGGGCTGAGGTGAGGCATTTCTTTTGTGTAGGGACAGGCTAGAAACACAAAAGGAGAAAATCAGAGGTTGTTTTGTTTGTGACAGGGTCCACACAGACCTACCTCCCTTGTGCTGGGATTAAAAGCTTTCAATACTGCGGGCCAGAGGGCCTACAAGTACCTCCTAGTCCATCTCTTAACGTAGTAAATGCGGTTCCCATCTTTGCTCACTTTTACAAGTATCAAAGGCCAAAAAAAAAAAAAAAAAAATCCAACCCCAATCTTCCAAGAACAGGCCTGTCTTTATTCAAACCAGTTCACCCAGTTCGTGTATTTTCTTTTTTTAAGCTGCAAGAACTGAGCAAGTTTTCTGGTTTTCCGCCAGGGCAGGGTTGGGAAGCAAATTTTAAACTCCAAAGGTTCATTTCTTTGAACAAAGGACAGGAAGTGGCCCTGATTGCCATTGTTACTCAAGGTTTGTCAACCACAACCTTCCAGGAACTGGGGCTAGTCACTTCAGTGGGTGGTCGAGTCATCTGCCCAGGTCTAACTTGGTCTGAGCTCACAGCACCGAGCTTGGGTCCTGCCTGGAGGCAGGAACCCAGCTGGGAGTAGAGTATCGGATCTGCTTCTAGATCTGCACAGTGTACAGCTGGGTCAGGTCCCAGCTCCTGAGAGCTTCGGCGCTCTCACGTGTGAAGTGAACCGAAGTTGCTCTCTTCCATCCCGTAGTTCTGAGTTCTGCTGGAGTTCTGGGCGGGGCCTGGGGGAGGCTCTTGGGGTGGGGGGGGCGATGAGGGTGGGGAGGGGGAGTGGGGGTGGTGTTCCATGGCAGGGTCTTCTCTCTCC